AATTGTTTGCTTAATTCGTTTGCTCGACTCATCCACTTCTGTGCACTAAAATTCTGCCTAGAACAAATAAGGTTATTAATTCGGGTGTTTTCTCCTCGAGAAACGTTTGTCAAATCCACTGTAACCCGGAGAAAATTGTCCTAGTTAAAACTATCACGTGGAAAATAACAACCAGTTACAAAAGTAACAAATATGACTCAAGCTAATTTTAAGCGCGGAAAGCTTACAATTAGCTAGTGTTTCATAAAATATAAAATTTTTCTTAAACTGATGTTTCATTCTTACGCCATTTTACTACATTGGAGAAACGGATCGCGTAAAATTTGCGATGATATAAGACTGCAGAGCAAGGCAAAATACGGACAGATTACTCAAAATTGTTAGCGGCAATTCTACGTAGGGAGTTTTTGTCTTCTGAATGTGTTGTCGAGGCGGGGGGATCGGGGAGGGATCATGTTGTTGTTTTCTATTAGTTTCTCTGTAAAGTCTCCAACAACTTTCTGTTAGAGTCGTCTAATTTCTACAGTCATATCACAACGATACGCCCTTCGATCTTTGTTTTTATCCAACTTTACATTTGTCCTACAGCTTCCTCAGAACCTACAACCTATTTCGGTTATAAGATCGCGTGTCGGCGCAGCTCAATTTCGATCACGCCACGCTAGGTTGCCAAGCAGAAGTCGACCTTTACTACCTTTGGTCTGTTTGTTTGAAATTTCTGAGTAAGTCTACAGTCCGCAGAATAAATGTCATGATTTTCTTTTCTTGTTTTATTTCTCGTTTTGATAGTTAAGAAAAACGATCGCTTTTACCTTGACTTTCAAGCTATACGCTATCCAGAATGTTGGGTAATGTATATCATGGGCATTTCTGAGGAGAATGCTCTTAATTGGATAGAGGAATGTTGGATTTCGTTCAATCGTTCAATATATGCTAAGGTAAATTACATATTAAATTCAGCCTCATGAAAAAGTTTTGCCTTTGGTCCACTTCGACCTTAAAAAAATTGTCTGCTGTTCAAGATGCTCATATTCCCACAGAGATGGATTCACAAGCCATGATCAAATCCAACGGATGGCTTTTGTGGCGACTGCAACAAACACTCAACATGGTATCCTCTTTTCTAGTTTTCTATCCACCATTTTCTAGTAATAACAATCGTTGAGATCCACGACCCAAACCCTAACACTAGTGAATTCAAAATACGGGCCCAAAAAATCGATGAAAACGGCGAACTAATGCCACTGCATGCAGGATCCGTAAACCGATCAAAATTTTCTCGACTCACGTTTTCCTACAAGTCGGTGCGTGTAAGTTGAAAAAGCTGTCAAAATTTGGCCTGAGGGCGCACAAAGCAAATTCTTTTGTGCGAAGAAACTTGACGCTATTAGTTGCGTTAGACAAGAGCGCCCGGCGTTTTTTTCTTGCCAATTCTTGTCAAGCCTTACCAATCTTTACGCAGCCAAAACGTCTGTTATAACAGCGTTGATTTTTATCCATAAATTCAAAAGAAAGTTCGCATATTCAGTATCGAAAGCCTGAACTATTTTCTTTTTGAACAGAACTTACGCACCGCGTTAATAGATACATGTTTAATTCGCTTGGCTACTTTCATACACAACAACATCATCAGAGTGAACTCCGATGATGACCTCCGCTAGGGTTTAAGAAACTTCGGTCACTTGTACTGAAAACAGTCCTTCTAAAGAAAACCCTCAACCAAACGATCAGAAAACACGATCAAATTTTGCTTCCGAGTTAAAACCATTTTACTGAAAGGGGAGAACTATAGCCGCAAAATGTAGCACACTTAGAAAAGGGCTCAATGGACTCTACAGACTTGGCCTTTTAGTTCTTCTTAAATCAGGTCTCTACAGCAATTGTACCAACAGCAAATTTACCACTTTTCTCTTATCATGCTGTCTGCCTTACTCGGACTGTGGTTCTTTTAGGTACCTACTTTAAGATCTATTATCAGAGGGCATACCAACTCACGAAGATCAAACATTTGGTGGCAGAACTTTAAACACTTTCATGTGGATTTCACTTATGAACTGCAACGTACCTCACCGCACTTCCGATCAAACAAGAGAAATTTGACCGCGAAAGCCATTAAAAGAGCTTAAGTGTATGCACAAGGCAAAGTCAGTAGACAAACTAAGCACGAAAAAACGAAAAACAGTCAATATCGCGAAACTCATCGTTATGGCCGACCAAAACAAAAACAAACTATTGGACTTCAATTTCTACTCTTAACTACTGTGTAGATGGTAAATTCAAACAAATGTCTACATCAGATCATTAAATAAGTGCTTCACGACGACATAAAAACTACCTTCGTCGCAATCCTTGTTTTACAATGACCGATGTTACTTTCCCAAAATATGCGAGGTTGGAAACCTCAGATCTATCCATTTAGCTTGACCGCCTCACTCGGCACGAAGTGATAGTGGTTTTTTATCTCATCTTTTCCTTCCAATGAGATCAGTTAATATTACGGGTAGAAAGATTCCACTAAGGAAGGTTTCAACAACTGAATATTCAATCTCCTTAAATACATTCACTTCCACAAAATCTTCAGCTTTATAATTATTAGGACTTGACTCGGAGTGAGGTTCCCAGCTTAAAATTATTGTCAAGCACATTATTAAAAAAGTTACCGAGAACACATATCTTTTTTTGGGAAAGATCTTCCAAACCGAAGCTTCTGGTTGAGTTTCGTCAGTTGGCGTGTCTTCAATGCCGATATTCCGTGCCGCCGCAGAAACTATTAAAATAACAAAAATGACAGAAGCAAAAAAAATGGCTTTCGGAGCCATACGAGAAAGGTTCTGTGGAGAAAAACAGTTGTACCACAATATTGTTACTGAGCCAGTGAGTCCCAGAACTAGGACGGCAGATATTTTCAGTTTGGTTGAAAACTCTCTGTTTTCACGCTTCACCTGGCTCTCAGTTAAGATTATGACTAACGCCATCAAGTTGTAAGCTTGGAAGAACATTAAGGAAAGCGAGAGGATCCTGAAGATATTACAGCTTTCTTTGAGATGACTCGCAAATCCTTTCCACGATTCTACGGCATCAGCGACGAGAACTGTAACTTGGCAAATCCACTGACAAATGAAGAACATTCTACCTCTTTGAAGAAACGGGTATTTTGTTCTATCTTTGAAGCAACTCAACAGCATCCGTAGGTTGAAGGCGACTGCGGCTAGTTGCAAAAGTGCAAGGAAGATCATAAATATCCAACCTACAGCTATTTGACTGAAATTTGTCAGCATGGTACAAATCTACATTTGAATAATTTTCCGCGTAAACTTGCTGTTTGATGACGCGTAAGGGATTGCTCAGCCGTATTATAGTACAATATACACAAACTTAGCAAGAATTTGTTTTAGTTTATTTAGGTAATTTTTATACAAATGTCATTTGACTTTCTCACTTCTCATTCCTCACCACCTGTGGAAGAAAAAAAGGCGCTGATACTTGGGAAATTTAAATGGCACATGATATTTTGTTATTAAACCGAAATGCAAAAACAAATGTACTGAATGGCCCGATACATTACACAATAGCGCAAAGCCTCACGCCACCTTCAATCACGCGGAAAACACGTGGAAAACAGTGTAACGTCACCCCCTGACGTCATAACAGTTATTTCCAAAGAAGCCCTCCTAGAGACAACAGAAGAAAAACAGTTTATTAGTTGGATATAATTGAACCCCATACGTGTAAACGATACCAGTTTTATAACGCTAACGAAGGACTAATGCTCAAAAATTCAAGCCAAATTATATTATCAACTCAGTGAACCATGTTAAACCAAACTATTTTGTCCTACCCCCACCGACGCAGCACCACTATTTCTTTAGAAGCTAACTAACCCCCAACACAACAATATAGTTTTTATAAGATGTCGATTAACCTGAAATAGCTGCAGTTGTTTTTTTTGCTCATGTTTGTTAGGACATGGTGTTTTGTCTCGATTACGAGACTCATCAGATATTTCTCAGAATTTTCTAACAAAGTTTGAGAATCACGCTTGAAGTTTACTGTGTTATCTAAAGGATCAGGTCATGTTATGAATTAACAACGATTGTTAATAAAGGAATATAGCCTTTTGCAAGATAAATCACTCTCAAAACAACGCAGATAGATATCAACTAAGGAAAAAACTAGGAAAGGTAACGACTGCAGTTTAACATTTATTACCGATGTGATCAAACAACTACCGGTAGTTTTTACGCTTTGCTGAGCTAAGCATAGGTTCCGCGGTTTTCATGTTGAATTTACATTTTTGAATAGTGTGAGCACAGTAAGCTAGACTATTAAAAATCCCCTCGTTACAGATGTACATCCAATGAGCTCATCAATAACGTCGACTAGTTGACATGTTCGAGTTGAAAACGAAATATTGCAGGTTGTACATGGCCCACAAATTTGTGTTGGACACATTAACAATTAGTGGATTCATAATTATGCACCTTTGTTTTTAGAAAGTGCGAACGGCAAAATGATTTTGCTTACTCCTGTTATACTCTTACACGAGTAAAAATTTTAAGAGATTCCTGCCCTCGATTTTCAGAAATTTTGCACAAGTGATTCAATTTGTTTCTGTGTGATCTTCAGCTTCACCTTTAACGACAAGATGCAAGCAAGCAGAGTGGTGCTTTTTCACAGTTTGTTTATTCCAGCAATAACATTATCCTCCCAGTTTATTGAGCAGTTAAATACCAGTTAGATGAATTTCTCTCTGGCAGATAGGATCTATAATAATGGAAGCTAACTATCTGAAAAACAAAAGAAGCAGCCTAAGGGAATATTATGGAATTCGTTTTAGTTATGCCGATAATGTGTCTGCTGATCATGAAAAGCTGGTTGGGAAAATTTCTTTTTAACTCTCCACTATTCTAAAACAAAACCGTGGTCCTAAACAAGCAGTTTATTGTTTTCTTCATCGATATATTTACTCAAGAACTGCATGCCTAATGAAGTATGGGGCCCTGCAAAAATCTTACCGTGAGCTGCCTCGCGCCAGTTAACATTCTTTGAAGAGCTATGCGGGTTCATCTTAATTGTTTGTTTTATTCATCTACTCTCCATACTACCCTTTGTGCTCGAATTAATATATCTATAATTAATATAAAGTCAATGGTAAAACAATCGCGATCGCCACTTTGGTTGTTACTATATAATGAACCTTGCATCGCGCTCTAAATCTTCGTATGGGTCTCTGAGTTAGAGAGGGGTGCGCCGCTAGGGATCAAAACTAGACATGGCAACAACAAAACTGCAAAGAGTTGCTTCTTGCCTCTCATACAGGCCTTCCGCAAAAAAGAACCCGAGCTCATCTCGGTTTTTGGAGAGGCATTCTCGAGTCACCATTTAGCGCTACTGGTAGACATTGCCACAGCGACCAGTACAACGACGGGAGACGCGAGCATAACAAAAGTGGCTTTTAGGAAGCCATTGGATAAATCAACGCATAAGAAAAACAATTGTGCCACAAAATCATGGCAGATTCGACGACTCCCAAACTTAGCAATGCAAACGCGCAGAGTTTTGGAACATCGCGAAACATCGTTATGGCCGAAACGAAAACAAATCATTGGACTTCAATTTCTATACTTAACTACTGTGTAAATGGCAAATTCAAACAAATTGCTACATCATATTATTAAATAAGTACTTCACGACCGCATATCTGACTATCTTCTTAAAATGACAATCCTTGTTTCACAGTATGATGTTACTTTCCCAAAATGTTCGAGGTTGGAAGCTCCAGATCTATTCATAACTCAACCGCCTCACTCGACACTAAATGAGAGCAGTTTTCATCTCATCTTTGAATCAATGAGATCAGTTAACATTGCTGGTAGAACGATTCCAACAAAGAATGTTTCAACAACTGAATATTCAATCTCCTTAAATACATTCACTTCCACAAAATCTTCAGCTTTATTATTACTGGAACTTGACTCGGAGTGAGGTTCCCAGCTTAAAATTATTGTCAAGCACATTATTAACAAAGTTACCAAGAACACATATCTTTTTTTCGGAAAGATCTTCCAAACCGAAGTTTCTGGTTGAGTTTCGTCAGTTGGCGTGTCTTCAATGCTGATATTCCGTGCCGCCGTAGAAACTATTAGAATGACAAATATGACAGAAGCAAAAAAAATGGCTTTTAGGGCCATACGAGAAAGGTTCTTTGAAGAAAAGCAGTTATTCCACAATATTGTTGCTGAGCCAGTGAGTCCCAAAACAAGGACTACAGATATTTTCAGTTTGGTTGAAAACTCTCTGTTTTCACGCTTTACCTGGTTCTCAGTTAAGATTATGACTATCGCCATCAAGTTGAAAGCTTGGAAGAACATCATTGAGAGCGATAGGATCCTGAAGATATTGCAGCTGTTTTTGAGCTGACTTGTAAATCCTTTCCACGATTCTACGGCGTCGGCGACGAGAATTGTAACTTGGCAAATCCACTGACAAATGAAGAACATTCTACCTCTTTGAAGAAACGGGTATTTTGTTTTGTCTTTGAAGCAACTCAACAGCATCCGTAGGTTGAAGGCGACTGCGGCTAGTTCCAAAAGTGCATGGAAGATGAGAAAAATCCAACCCATGATGCGTGCCAGGGAGTTCTTTCTATATACTCAAAGCTGTTTGACTAAATTATCTGATACAAATCTGCTTTTGCATAATTATCCACTTTATTTTAGATGTTTAGCGACGCACGAACGATTGTTCAACGACCGGTGGAAAAACATAAACAGAACAAATTTTTGTTTTGGGTTTTCATGAAATTTTCGGGATTCACGTTTTTATACAAATCCTCGCGTGTAAGTTGAAAAAGCTGTCAAAACTTTGGGCCTAAGGTCGCACTTGGCAAACTTTTTGTTCATTTTGTGAAGAAACTTGTCATCAGTTGAGTGAGACAAGCGCGCCCAGTGATTTTTTCTTACCAAATCTGGTCAAGCCTTACCAATCTTCATGCAGCTGAAACGTCTGTTATAAAAGCGTTTTTTTTTATCCATAAATTAAACAGGAAGTTCGCATATTCAGTATCGAAAGCCTGAACGATTTCCTTTTTGAACAGACTTACGCACCGCGTTAGTAAACACATGTTTAATTCGCTTGACTACCTTCGTACACAACAACATCATCAGAGTGAACTCCGATGATGACCTCCGCTAAGGTTTACGAAACTTCAGTCACTTGTACTGAAAACAGTCCTTTTAAAGAAAACTCTCAACCAAATGATCAGAAAACACGATCAAATTGTGCTTCCGAGTTAAAACCATTTTACCGAAAGGGGAGAACTATAGCCGCAAAATGTAGCACACTTAGAAAAGGGCTCAGTGGACTCTACAGACTTGGCCTTTTAGTTCTTCTTAAATCAGGTCTCTACAGATATTCTACCAACAGCAAATTTACCACTTTTCTCTTATCATGCTGTCTGCCTTACTCGGACTGTGGTTCTTTTAGGTACCTACTTTAAGATCCATTATCAGGGGGCATGCCAACTCACGAAGATCAAACATTTGGTAGCAGAACTTTAACTCAAACACTTTCACAAGGATTTCACGTATGAACAATAACGTACCTAACCGCGCTTCCGGTCAAACAAGAGACAAACTAAGAACGAAAAAACAGAAAAAAAAACCAATCAATATCGCACAACTCATCGTCATGGTCGACCAAAACAAAAACAAACCATTGGACTTAAAGTTCTGCTCATAACTACTGTGTAGATGGTAAATTCAAACAAATTTGTACATCATATCATTAAATAAGTACTTCACGACCCCATATAAGACTATCCTCTGAACAATCCTTGTTGTACAACGGGTGATGTTACTCTCCCAAAATGTTCGAAGTTGGAAACCTTATAGATCTATCAATGACTGAGTCAGTAACCTCACACGGTACTAAATGAGAATAGTTTTTATCTCATCTTTTTCTTCATAATTTGAATCGATGAGATTAGTTAATATTACTGGTAAAACGATTCCAACAAAGAACGTTTCAACAACTGAATATGTAACCTCCTTCAATACAATAACCTCCTCAAAATCTTCAGGTTTATAACTGTTGCGACTTGATTCGGAGCGAGGTTCCCAGTTTAAAATTATTATCAAGCACATTATTAACAAAGTTACCAAAAAGAGATATCTTTTTTTGGGAAATATCTTCCAAACTGAAGCTTCTGGTTGAGTTTCGTCAGTTGGCGTGTCTTCAATGCTGATATTCCTTGCCGCTGCAGAAACTATTAAAATGACAAAAATAGCAGAAGCAAAAAAAATGGCTTTCAGGAACATGCGAGAAAGGTTCTGTGGAGAAAAGCAGTTGTACCACGATATAGTTGCTGAGCCAATGAGTCCCAGAACAAGGACTGCAGATATTTTCAGTTTGGTTGAAAACTCTCTGTTTTTACGCTTCACCTGGCTCTCAGATAAGATCATCACTATCGCCATCAAGTTGTAAGCTTGGAAAAACATCATTGAAAGCGAGAGGACCCTGAAGATATTGCAGCTTTCTTTGAGCTGACTTCCAAATCCTTTCCACGATTCTACGGCATCAGCGACGAGAACTGTAACTTGGCAAATCCACTGACAAATGAAGAACATTCTACCTCTTTGAAGAAACGGGTATTTTGTTCTATCTTTGAAGCAACTCAACAGCATCCGTAGGTTGAAGGCGACTGCGGCTAGTTGCAAAAGTGCAAGGAAGATCATAAATATCCAACCCATGATGCACGAAAAAAAGCCAGATGGAAAAAATTCTTGGTACCCTTTTCGCTATGTACTCAAAGCTGTTTGCCTGAAATTGTCTTCATGGTACAAATTTGCATTTGAATAATTTCCGCTGAACTCTGCTGTATCATGACGCACATAAGATTACTCAGCAATATTTTGGTATCGGTACATACAAACTGAACAGAACTCTTGTTTTGGTTTTTTTATGTAATTATTATACGAAAGTCATTTGGATTTCTCATTTCTCGTTTCTCTCCACCTGTAGGATTGGAACTAATCAAGTACAAAAGGCGCTGATAGTTAGGAAAATTTTAATGACACGCGATATTTTGACGGCACTCAGCCTCACGCCACCTTCAATCACGTGGAGAACACGCGTAACGTCACCTCTAGACGCCATAACCGCAATTTTGTGTACAGATTTTTGGGATCGCCACAAGGCAAACATTGCAACTCGCTAGAAAGGAATGTTAGGCGAAGGGTTGTTTGGACGTCCAAAGAAACGATTTTGGAGGGAGATAATCGCTTTTTCGCCGCAGCTTTATCGTAAGATAATGTTGATACGAGGGAAGTGTAATTTTTTGTTAGAATTACCACAAAATATGTTAGAAAGAAATACCGAAAACTACTCTCCTTGCGTAAGGTCTATTGTGAAATCGTCATCGCGTAATAGTCTCGAAATATTACAGTTACACATACGAAAGGGTTCAGTTTTCAGCCAATTATCAACGCTGATTCGTTCTCGTTGATCACAACAAAATAGCAGTGTTGGTGTTTTATCACTTTAATATTCAGTGCTCAAGCTCCTGCTGCCTCGAGGTAGCTTTTGTAGCGCTCTCTTGTATTACAAGCCACGAAAAAAGCTAGAAGTAGACTTAACACACGTCCAAAAAACTGAAAATGCTTTGTTGACTTGGCGATTTATGGTTAGTTTTTCTAAATTTCGAGACTATTACGTAATGTCAAATTCATGATAAACCTTGCGCAGGTAGACAAGTTGATCGGTAGATTCTACTACGTTTCTGAGAGCGGCGGAAAAGCAATAATCTCTCACTAAAATCGTTTTTTTGGACGTTCAAACTGCCTTCCGCCACACATTTCCTTCTCGTGAGTTGATGTTTGCCCCGCGGCGATCTCAGAAATCTGGATCCTATTACTGGCAACTCATTCATTAAGCCCTCTCAGAGATAACGGGAGAAAAAAGTTTCAATAGTTGGATGTAACTGAACCCTACTCGCAATAGAAGAAAAGCAGTTTACTGGATGGATGTAACTGAACCCCAAACGTGTAAATGATACCAGTTTAATAAAAGATAACGAAGGGCTAACGCTGGAAAAGTCAGCATTACAAACACCTTACGTTGGCCAAGTTATGTTAAAAACTAAACTATCATGTCATACCTCCTCAGTTTTTTTAGAAGCTAACTAGCCCCAAAAATAACAATGTATTTCGTAATAGATATCGACCAACATGAAATAGCTGTAATTGTTTTTTTGCTTATGTCTGTTAGGACATGGCGTTTTATCCCGATTACGTGAAACTCGCCACGCATGAAGTTCCATTTGCAAGGTCTAAGATGCGAGTACTTTGTCCTTCTATCACAAGAGGATTCCCAGCGTTCACGGGATATATTTGTACAAGAAAAAGAATGTCAAATACTTGCCAGAGGATTTCGTGGCTGGAAGAGACAATGATGGGACAAAGAGAGAAATTCAGGACGTTGACCGAAATATTTCGATTTCATTAAGTGATTTTTAGCCTGAGGTGGAAAGCATTGTGGTTTCTAAACGTAGTCTCTTCATTATTTCCGAAGTCAGTATGATATTCAAAGAATCTCATCGCTGTTCACTAATAAATCAATCTTACTTACAGGCGACCAGACTTGCTTGAAAGAGGGCGGATATCGTTTAATTTCCGAAAAAAGTGAGTATCCTGTGCTTTATCTATGCCGTAAACGTCATTGATTTCTTAAGCCAATACTAAGTCTTACAAGTAAACACACGCGCATGGGGTAGTCGAGCTATAACGTATCTTAGTCCCATAATGTTCTCTAGGTGACTAGAATGACGCTGAATTTGGTCTTAGTCAGGACTAAGGAATTTTTGAGCAACTTCGCAAGGCATCACACTCGTACAATTTGAAAGCTGTTTGTTGACGAGTCCGGGCTCTTGGCCGAGACAAATCGCTCTCTTATTAGCAACGCACTGATATTACGCATATGATACATATGCAAATTTTAGAACAACCAAGTATTACGGTCCAATAAATATACTTCGAAGTATTAAAATTAAAGAATTAAAATAGAAAATTAAAATCGTAATTCTAAGGTTTAACGTAGAACACAAAATGTTGCATACATTAAATTATGTTTTCGAGCCCCGTGGGGGGCTCCCCTAGGGGCAATGAGCCAGACCAAAACAACATAAACAAAACCGTTGAAGTTGTGGTGGATGCACCCAAAAGTTCGCTGCCTAAAGAATCAAGGCTACAAAACCGATGGAATGAAAGTCTGGATCGTTTGTTGTGCTTATTTGGTTGCTCCGCTTTGCGTTCGAAAGTTGGCCTTGTTCTACAGTGAAATGCCGACGCATGTTCGCACGCGATCCGTTGCTCTAATACGAGGGGCCAATATAATGAAATGGCCTAATTATGAAATAATAGGAGATCTTATTCTTATGTTCACTTAGCGCACGTTAAGGTGGTGTTGCACGGTTGCAGAACTTGGAGAATGACTCAATTGGATGAGAAGAAGCTGAATGCTTAAAGCTTGTGAGCAGTGAAGAGTTTAGGAGAAGAGGGAACATCTAGACCTTAATGGTATAGATATTATATAGAAGACGAAGATGACTGGGCCGCTTTCCTAGAATAGACCAACAGTCCAACGCGCTATTGTACTCACGTGAGTGCCACCAAATAAAAGAAGGCCAGGATGACCACACGAAACGTAGCAAAGGACAGTGGGAATAGAACTTAAATGGAGCGAGAACTAAGAACCAGGATTGGAGTAGCCACAACTACGAAGGATAGAACATCCAAGAAAGCGAGAGAGAGTGCTACTAATCTCCCACCGACCCAAGGAGAGCAGCGAACAATGATGATAAAAGCCGCAACGGCCTCAAAGCACCACTGTACACCGTAGGTAGACGTGGGGCAGACGTTCGACAATAATATTTCGTATTCACATAAAATGAGGTTTTAAAGCAGCTAGGGAAAGGGTGATCTCGTAATGGTAATGGTAATTTATAGTAGCGGGAATGTATAATGAAATGCGACGAGAAATGACGCATCTCTTTGAGGTTCCCTATCAACGTTTCTGCTTCCGTTGAACCATCTAAATGAGTTAGCTACAGTTATCCTTTCCAATTCTGAGTCCCATTTAACTCGTAAAATCCTCATACTTTGTACTTACCCTTACCCCGAAATTTATGCCCGTTTAGGGCGGATCCGGGTGTCCCTGTATAACCCTTCTTAAGAGGTGCCCACTTCGAAGCTCAGATTTTTTGCCGTCTCCTTTAATTTTGGATCGGGCAACAGAAGGAGGGTAGGAGGAAGGGTGTGGGTATCTCCCGTTTCCCGCAGAATGCTCTGGTCTTGTCTCTCGCACCTTTAACTCCCGTCCCTCGCCCTTTTCTGCGAAACGTTACAAATCAGTCTGCCGCATTTCTCCTCTGTTTCCTGACCTCACTGGAAAGCCGCTTCCTCTCCTTTCCTATTCCGTCCCTTAACTCCTGCTTTACCCCCCCCCCCCTTGCATTTGCTGTAGTTTACTCTTTACCGCCTAATTCAGTGGTTATGAAGAACCTTAAGCAGTCAGGATGGCGACGCCAAGGAAGACGTCGTTGATGGCTGTTAGCCGTGTCCTCGTTGCCTTCACCGTCGTGGTTTTCTTGGGGTCCCTATTCTCAGTACGGGAACCGTACAACCTGCCAAAACCTCATTGTAAATGTGCTGTACCAAAGAAAAGTAAATTGCCGATTCTAAGCTCTACACAAAGACCCTGACGCAATAGCAAAGGCAATGAATCATCCACCTCTCTTAGTTTTTAACTGGAAAAAATTTTGGATTTTCAAACAACTCGACACAGCCGGAAAACATTACGTGACACCGTTTGCGTGAGAGACATGAGAGTTTATCTCCTAAACCAAAATAGTACTATGGAACCTGCGCAAGCCTTGAACTTTCCGCTGCTGTCTCCAATTCTTCAACCTGTTCTCAGTTTCCCGTAGCGATTCGTATCAGCGAAATTCTTCCTTTGCTCTTTCCCAGCAATTCAGGAGCTCTTTTACGACAAATGGCAAGCTGTCAAATGGAAATGTTAGTAACTTGTAAACTGAGCCATCTATCGTGATTCCTCTTCTGTTGGATTTATTCCAATAAAGAACTACTTTGATAAGAAGAAAAGGAAACGAGGTTACGTGTCATATTTTCCACATCGTATTTTTCGCCAACAGACGCTGCGGTTCTTTTCAGTAATACCGTGCTGGTCTGGCATTTCAAATTAATAGAAAACACAAGGTGCTTTTCAGACATCCTGTGTTCTTTGCACTAAACACGGCAACGGAAATACTACAAAGAAGCGTCTCATGTGTTTACATCCTTTTGTTTCAGATGCGCACTAGATTAAACAATGACAAAAAGTGTTACAAACAAAAAAAATCAAGATTATTTGTTTTGATCTACGGAGCTAATTTATTATGTAAATTGGCCTCCACAAAGAGTTTCTAATGCTAACTTATCAAGAGTTAGACCTTTGTCAAAGCGAAAAAAACGAGTTAAACAAAAAAAGGGAGCCAAAACTTCTGCGGAAACCAAAAATGTCAGTTTATGGTTTCCAATTTGCTAGTATAATCCGATGCTATCTGTGCATAGGAAAAAGGCAGTGTGATTTGCATCTTAGAGACTATAAATCACCTTACGTTGGCCCACGATGTGATCACATGGTCCTTAATTGTAATCAATGTCGTACGATCATGTCAGGTGACTAAGTGACAGCCCATAACATCGGAACATGACATATTTGCGTGACAAGCCTCGTTTGTCCTTAGGCGCTCTCGCTATTACTGTTGACATTCGTCCTGGCCTCACCATCTCTCGCGATAACGTGGAACGTCGAGAAACGCAACTGTTCAAAATGACTTGGTTACTCCTCCTTGTATTATCTGTAATGGATATAGCCGCAGTCTATTTCAATGTACGAATGCTGATAATCTGTTTCAAAGACAAAACGAAATACAAATTTCTGGAAAGTTGCAGGGTACTGGCCATTTGTCAAGGCGCTTGCCATCTCATAATTCTTGTTGCGGATACTGCAGAATGGTGGAACGGCTTCACTATTCTCCCTGGTGAAACATGCAGCTTCTTCAGAGTCCTGTCACTTTCCGTGATGTTCTACCAGACTTGTAATTTGACGGCAATGATGACGGTTTACAATGAACACGGAACCCAAGACGCAAGTTCGAAAGTTCGAATGTACGCCGCGCTTAGTATGGGAGGTGTTGGGACTTCATTGATCGCATGGCACAATTGTTTTGCTCAAGCGCCGACTTCTCTATTTGCCCTCAAAGCTGCCTTCGTTTTGGTTGTGACATTTTTGATCTTGCTTCTTGCGGCAGCTCTTTTCACGAACGATGAATACAACACACTGGAGTCACAGGCCGCCATCTACACTTCAGCTTCGCCGTTTTGGGTTCGTAAAGAAAACATGAGGCCCTTATTCTTCACAACTTTGACGCTACCATGTCTTGTTTGGATCCTTAGCGGAGTGCCCAATACTGACTCGCTGCTTTACGAAGATTATGAACAAGTAACATTGTTCAAGGAGGCTCTTTATTCAGTGATCACCAAATTTGCAGTCGGAATTGTTTTACCGGTGACTTTGTATGATTTGATAAATTCGAGCTATGTAGACAGGAAAAATCAAATTATGGCATCTATTATTTAAGAAGAAACTGGATTTAGAGCGAAAACATAAATCTCTCTAAAGAAATCAGTATTTTATTTGTTACATTCTACAAACTAACTGCAGAGTCGAAGACTTTTCCGGCATTCAATGGATAAGGATGTACAGCGCGATTCTGTGAAAAGAAGCACAAAGTTTTGTTATGTAATTATGTCTCGGAATATCTTTTAGAGATACTTAGTTGGGTTTCTTGCCTTTATGAAGGATTTACTTCGATATGAATTCGATACAAAAATTGTTGATTGTTGCTAAGAAGAATATTCATCGAGCCAAAATAATTATGATGCTTCTTTAAGCAGACAAAGGCTTTAAGCGTTTCCAGTTACAGAAATTCAAGCAGCAAGACACGCATTTCGCGCTGAAATCGACACTATTCATGCGACCTTAATTGTAAATCAGTGCACAGGGCTATCTTAATGCATAAGTCGAATCTTTGTGTTCGCTCCGAAAGGAGTTCTGAGGAATAAAATCGGTGCCTAATTGTAAACAAACGCGTGGTATCTAGTTTCCGGACCAAAGGTCACTCATGCATTCGTGGCGTGATCTAGGAAGTCTCTTCTTGAAATTAGGTCCCGTCCGGGGGTGGGGGCGTCAGAACTCTACGCTATAATGCTGCAGAAAATTGGTTATGAACAGGGCGAATCATCGTGATTTTCAAATAGGGTTTAGAGAGCGCAGCAAGATGAACATTGGGAAATCACTGAAGGAAAAAAAATTGACGAAATTTGTGATGCTTGCCCTCTCCTGCTCAGTAGACCGTAAAATGCAACCACAAGCTCTCCCTTGCAAAGGAAACCGAATTATTATTTAGTTTGAACAACGCTCTCGTGCAAACAGAAAGAAGGAATTATGTCGTAGCATATTTAAGGTTCAAACAACGTAAACATCTCAGCACAAACTTAAACTGCAAACCATTCGCTTACATCGATCTTCACAAGAACAATCTTGCAAAGTACAGTGCTGAACGAGTGCGAGCGACAAAATTTACGTGATTTCATTAAACCTGACAAAGGAAAACGCGAAGACTTCGCGTAAATACGAACGTTATTTTAAAGCAATGTGATTACAAATACCTTAAATTCCACTTAGGAGTACAGGTCGATTCACTTCAGTTCGAATGCAGCAAGCGACTGTGCAGTGCGTCTTTCCGATCTGTCTCAACTTGGCCTCGAATCGACTCGAACGACCAGCACGGTTTATTAGCAACAAAACCCTCATTCATTTGCAGGTTTATGATATACTTTTGTGGACATTTATGCTTTAATAACTCTTGAAATTATTCAGTTTGGAATGACATAATATCTCTATGCATCATAGCTCCCGCAAGATTCCTTGAAAAGATGTACAAATGGAGTTCACTTTGTTTTAACGACAACAGGAAAGCAAAGTTCACATGACTTAGTATGGCGTGATTGATTCTGTATTTGATTGGACCATAGCTCTTGTCCACGTGTATACGCCATGTAGTAGACGTGCGTGGTGGACACAAAGGGTCCCTAGAAACCCAACGAGTGACGAGCCCTTGATTACATCCCTTTTTCCCCACTCCCCACTCCCCCCTCCCCCAACTTCACCTACAGCATTTCATTTCCAAACGACCTTCGCTCTTCATCTTCCCAACTTCCGCTACAGAGTTTTGTAATTTGCGACTCAAGCTCCCGTAATGAACCGCGTAAGAGAAATTAAAACCGATCCACCTGAGTTTATTGAAACTAGACCCTGTGAGCAGGGTAACTGGGATACCTGGATGGTACTGGATCCTTGGAATCAAGTGTAGTGATACTACGGGTGTCGGACTAGTATACTGAAACAGTGCGCTCAAGTCTGGCCAAGGGCATACACCTATTTCAAAACATAGGCATGCTATGCATGCAAGAGTTACTTTTTTGTCGGGTGGGTGGATTACTTGAAACATTGTGAGTGATGTCTACATTCTTACAAAAGGAGAAAAGAATATTAATGTGGGAAAGAACGAAAATGTCGAATTACCTCACTCACAGGTATTTTGAGGTAGATTATGTGTGTTTTGCGAATAAATGTAGCCAAAAATAAACTGTATTGGTGCCACGGATACCTGTTAGTACAAAATGCAGACAGCAGGCTGTGGACCGGATACAAAATATAGACTGCAGACTGCAGAGTGGGTACAAAATGCAGACTAAGAATCTGAAGAGTTTTTACGTCTGGTATATAATAACATGTCATCTTACAGCTTACCGAGCGTCACGCAATCGCTTTTCTGCGATCCCCCTTCACGATTATTTGCACTATTGTGGAATATTCCTGGCCCATTTCTTGATGAAAATCGATCGCAATATTATTTCAAGCCTTCAATATAGTCTTCTTACTTTGCGCGCGAGTTGGTTGGTGTGATGTCTGTACAGAATTTACCAACGTAATAAAAGTAGATGACGTGAATAACAGTGAAGGTAAAGCAAGCTTAAAACGGCAGAAATCGCCAGAAAATACAACGGATACACAGGGTATGAGTAAGTTTTATTGATTTTACGAGAAAAATGTTCATATTTCGAAATTCGACATTTTCGTTCTTTCCCACATTAATATTCTTCTCTCCTTTTGTAAGAATGTAGACATCACTCACAATGTTTCAAGTAATCCACCCACCCTACAAAAAAGGAGCTCTTGCACGCATAGCATGCCTATGTTTTGAAATAGGTGTATGCCCTTGGCCAGACTTGAGCGCACTATTTCAGTATACTAGTCCGACACCCGTAGTATCACTACACTTGATTCCAAGGATCCAGTACCATCCAGGTATCCCAGTTACCCTGCTCACAGGGTCTAGTTTGTCGAAAACTGTAGGCATTTTCGGTGGTCAATTGGTACGCTCTGGTTATATAACCGGTAGCCGGTCAAAGTTCTACGTCAAACAACTGAACGACCGGCAGTCGGCTATTTTTCTCAAAATGTAACAAATTTAGAGAAGCCACACAATCCAAACTATCATATGTCGATGAGGAAATGCTAAGCAATCCCTAAGTGATTTATAAATCTCATGCCTAATGCTCGGTTCACCCTCAGAATACGGAGCTATTGTTGTTGACACTAAGAAATTGCGTGAGGTCGACTACCGGTCGCGTGGTTCTCAGACCAGAAATCGAAAGTTTTTCTAAAAACTTAAGAAATCGAGGGAACCTGTGCAATCCAAACTATTATATGTCGATTAGGAACTGCTGATGGAACTGCCGCTAATATCTAGCGCTCGGTTTACGCTGGCTCAGAATACGGAGCTATGGATGTTAACACTTCGAAATTGCGTGAGGTCGACTGTTCTCAAATAACTAAGGGCTTATCTGCAATAGCGACAAGATTGTTTATTTGAATAAATTTTCTGTTATAAACAACACTTTACAAGGGCGGATGGTTTGTCGCGACTTGACAATTTTTTGCTGAAGCGGACAAATTTTCAAACACACCGCCGACAAAATTTGTCTCGGGTAAAAGCTTGGCAAAATGTACTAAACTTGTCTATCATTTGTCGTAAACGCTACCATTAATGTGGTAATTGAACTGAGTTCAGTTTACCGAAAGATCGCAGTAATCGTCCTTCGTTACGAAACTCGCAGATTTACAACTTTAACTTAAGATGAATCCCGGTGATTGGAGTTTTAATCCATTGGCGAATTATAGTGTCGTATGAGCAGATCAGGTGCTGGAATGTGCCACCCCATGAAGACCAACAATAAAACAATTTTCATTCAGCCGGGGCAACCTATAAGGGTGGAGTTATTGTCCAGTCGCCGCTTCATCAGACTATAATGATGAAGCTGTAGATGAGGCCACACAAGATCCAGAAGTTAACCGAATTTGACAGCTTTTTGACAACTTCGACATTTTTAGTGCGGATGCAACAGAGGAGACACAAATTTGTTATGAAAAAATTTGTCCTTTAATTTTGGCGGTACATTTCTAGTTTTGTCTCCTAGTGCGGATAGGCCCTAAATGACCAGTTTAGGAGATCAAGAGAGCGTATGCAATCTAAAAGTTCAGAGCACACCTTGTTGCTAGATAATACTCTAAGCTCTTCATTATGATCTTTTTTTCACGGTTTTAAAATTCCAAATCTGTTCAAAAGAAACTGAAAACAACAATGACATTTAAAAATCGAGACGGCACGAAATTATTAATCTGATCAATTAATCATGCAGATTAAAACAGAAATCGTGCGAATAGTAGTTAACAAAATATAACATGGATATTTAACTTCTGAAGCTTAGGATTCTTAGGGTGTTTGTGAAAAGAAAAAACTGAATGTCACTTGAAACATTATTTTTAGTTTTATTAGAATGGTTCCGCTTTTAAAAGTGATCCTTCAGTACAGGTGAAAGACAATACAAACAGGCCGTTGGGACTCGCTAAAGGGTGACCACGGATGCTTCACAAAGGTGACCGCTCATTCGAAAAATTACAGTGATTATCAGGAAACAGATAAGGGATTTTGACAACCGACCGCTTAAGAAAGAGTTGCCGCTAACCGCAGGTTCGGCTGTGGTCTTTACGAGGAAAGGAAATCCAATGGATTAAACCCGTCTTCATGTAACTGGCTTGACAGCATTTCACGCTAAGCGCGACTTTTGGTAAACTGACCTACAAAAGTGATTATGCGTAAAAGAAACTGGCTTTGGATACAAGAGGAAAGGGCAATAACATGCGTTATGATAAGCGTGTGAAAAGGTGTAACTGACGAAGAAAACTTTTAACAAACTTAACGAAAAACACTGACGAGGAAGTTGAAAAAATTAAGGACCAAATAAAGAAATGCAAATTATACGAAAAAATAATTAGCAAGCACTTAAATCTTATTTTTGGGACTCTGGCTTTGTTTAAGAATAGTACTAAATGTCAGTGTTTAAAAGAACAGATATTTGTTCTTATATACTCTTTTCGCTATTTAATAAATCCTGTATTGACCAAGCCTTTTCGCTCATGATGGCTGGATATTAGCCTCGTTCTTTCTTTCGGTTTTCCATGCTGAACTCGAATTCGTCTCCTAGAAATAGACCGGTATGAATTAGACCGCGTTTTGATTGGTTCCAGACGCAAAGATGACGTTGATCACCATATTAACAATATTGTGCTCTAGAAAACAAACAGATTCCATTTTGCCGTTCGTCCGTCTGTTCAGTTATAGATCATTAAAGACATCAAAATGTGATAAGAATATCAGTGATATGGCTGCGTCGTTTGTGCCACTCTTTTTCTGTTCCTTCTATATTTTGACGTCATCGTTGCTGAACAGAAGCAAGTAATCTTGTAAACTACTT